AGCAGGGGGCGGGCGGGCGGCGGGGGCCCCCCGAAACGGCGGGGCTCGGCCCGAAAGCAGCTGCACCCACCGCCGCCGGGGCTTTCCAGGGTGCACGGGCAGCACAGCCCAGGCACGCAGGGCTCGGCCTCAGGCCTGGAAACTCCCGTGGCTTATTTATTTATGATTATATTTGTTATATTTATTTTAATCCTCCTTCCTTCAGCCTGCCTTGGTTTCCAGCCTAAGGGCATGCTGTACAAAAATTAAAAGCAAAACCCAGGAGGGCAGTGGGCACTGGCTGCGCTCCCTGCATCCAGGAGCCAGTTTTCCCAGCTCTTCCTTTTCCAGTAAAGCCGGGGCGCTCCCGTGGGCCTGGCACTGCTCCTGGCACCGCACCTGCTCCCGGTGTCTCAGGTTGAACACCCGCGGAGGCGGGCGTTGGGGCACCCAGCTGCCCTCGGCCACGGCGGCAGAGGGGCTGAGAGCTGCTGGCACATGGCTTCTGTGCCTCACCGCTGCCTCAGCGGGATCTCGGCATCGCTCGGGATGCTAAATGGGCATCACGAGCATCTCCGGCCCTGCTGTCCGGCATGGCAGCACCACAGTTTCATGCAAAAAAAGAAGGGAAAAAAAGGAGGAAAGCCAACCCCAGGGCCGTACACCAGCCCCACCTGTGTGTTTTGAGGCCAGCACCAGCCTTGCCGAGGGATGAACCCCGTGGGGGTCCCCGCCAGCCATGCCAGGCCCCGAAAGCCAGGCGCGGAGCGGATGGAGGTGGGAGCGGGGTCCCGGTGGCTGGTGCACAGCAGCAGCGTAGCCCCCCCACCCCAGAAAGGGGAAGCAGCGCCCCGACGGGGCTGCAGCTGGTTTCCAGTAACAGCTCCTGGGCACGGCCGCCCATGATAGAAAATGGTGATCCTGTGCCTCGGACCATTGCAGTGCAGGTTATGTAGATTTCTGCATTAAATTAGAGGAAAACTAGCAAATAACCATGATTTCAGGCAGGTCACGTGGGGCCCAATGCGCTCACCCTCATTGATCTTCCTTTATCCCATTTGAGCTCTGCAGGGAGCGGTAAAACAAACCAAAAAATCCTGAGATTTGCAGGAGTTTTACAAATTTATTACCCAAGTGGTGGTCATGAGGACTGAAGCACAGGATTTTGGCCTCTTTCCCCCTGTGCTTCTTGCTTTCAAGGAAATTTCCCCTTCTTTCCAGGAACTTCTCCCTACTGCTCAATGGGAACTCCTACATGGTTTTCCAGGACATACCCCTTTGTTTTCCAGGAAATGTCTCCCTTCCTTCCTAAGAAATCCCCCTATCACTTTGTAGGAATTTCCGCCATCACTTTCCAGGTGACTTCCCTGTCGCTTTGCAGGATATTTCCCTCCCCTTCTTTCCAGGAAATTCCTCCCTTGCTTCCTGGGAAATTTCCTTGTTGCTTTCTAGAGTCCTCCATTGCTTTCTAGGAATTTTCTCTCTGCTTTACAGGACTTCTGTTGCTTTCTAGGAAATTTATTTCCCCATGACTATTGCTCCCTGCGAAACAAGAAATTATTTCTCAAGAAATTTCATTCTTCCTGTCCAGGAACTTTCCCTTTTGATTTCCAGCAATTCCTCCTTTGCTTTCTGGGAAATTTCCCCTCTAGGAAATATCGCTGCTACTTTCTTCTTAAGAAATGTCACTTTTGCTCCCTGGTATTTGAGGAAATTTCCTCTTTGCTTTCTAGGAATTTTCCTCCTTTGAAATTCTAGGCTATCCCCTTTATGGCCTTCTAGGAAGTTCCCCCATTGCTTTCCACAAGTTTCCAGAATATTTCCCCCTTTGCTTTTGAGGTGCTAGTGCTCTCTAGGAAATTCCTTCATTGTCTTGCAGTAAATTTCCCCTTTGTTTTCCAGGATATTTTACTGTAGCTTTCTAGGATGGTTTCCCTTTGCTTTCCAGGAATTCCCCTACTGGTTTCCAGGAAATTTCCGTTTTGCTTTGTAGGAATTTTCCCCCAGGGCTTCAGTAAATTTCCTCATTGAGTTCCAGGAAATTTCACGAGCAAAAGCCGAGGCACCTGCCTGAACCCATGAGAGGGGTATGCCATGAGAGGGGTATAGGGCACCTCCACCAAAACATATTAAAGGCCAGTAAACACCACAACACCCAAACAAACTGGAGCCTCAAGAGCCATGGTCAGGGCAGGAGCAAGGGCCAGGGGTGACATGGGACAAGGTACGACTGAAAAGGGCCTGGGGTCAGTGGAGGACCCTATGCCAGAGGGAGCAGGTAGGAGGCAAAAGGAGTTTGTAAATCACAAAGCAGCAAGGAACGGGGGCCTTAAAAAAAAAAAAAAAAAAAAAAAAAAAAAATCTTTCTCTTTTAATCCACCCAAGGGAAATCCAGAGCAAGAGCAGCATCACAGCACTACACACAGCACAGACATCTATCATCATCTTTGCACAGATTCCTTCCCAGATACACAGAAAAGTCATTAGGAAAAAAAGAAAAATAAAGAAAATTATTCACATATGCAAAGTGACAAGTAACAAATCAGCCACAGAACAACTTTTTCAAAGAGAAAAAGGACGCATCAAGGAAGAAGGCCCTCAACATACATACAGGTTTTGCAAAAACCTAACCCAAGAACGTTGAAACAGAGGTGGTTTTCTTTTAAACATTAAAAAAGGGATTTTTTTTTTTAATTAATTTAAATATACATTTGAAACACAAACACCAAGCAAGCGCCTGGAGAACAAAGCAAAAAGAAGGAGGAATGAAAAGTTAATTCAACCAGTTTAATTTAAACACCAAAGTCAGGTGGATTGCACCAAATGGAATAAATAACGGAGAAGATCACGCTGGGTTGGTAGATCTCACACTTAAGATCATTTAAACTAGAATTAATTACACAGCCCAAGAGAGTACTGAACAAGGAAGTCCTCTGACAAGTGATGTCAGCTGGAGCAGTGTCCCTTTCACAGAGTGAGTTGTAGGTGTGGATTTGCCCCCTGCCACCCAACAACGATCACCACCCCAGAAGCGAGCAGGATGATGAGTTTTCGTGATCCAGAGGACTTCACCCCATAATCACATACATGCGAACAGCTCCTCGCTCGGGGCGTGGGAGCCCTCCACCCTTCCACAACATCTGACTCCAAACACGCCGAAGTCAAACATCAAAGCACAACCAGACCTTGTGTTTTCACCTTGCAAGGTAAGCACACAGGCACAGGGTTTCTAGTGCAGCTCCCTGAGGTTGGGCACCACAGAAGCGGAGCAGGCACCTCCTTTCATGCACCTGGGGCCAGGCTGGGAAAAAAAAAATTATCAGCTAATCTACACCTGCAGCCACCACTTTATCACCCCAGGGGCGGGCAGGCAGAAGGAATGTAAGTGGTTTCTTGTTGTTTGGTTTTCCCTCCCTACAACCCCTGCATTAAAAAAAACAAAACAAAACCAAACCACCCCCCAAAAAAACCCTGGACAAAAATAACTTGATCCCAAGTTCCTCACCCTCCCCTGCCTGTAGCCAAGCAGTGAAGCACCTTCAGACATTTGTGTGATCCCACAGACATGTTCCCTACAGAGCAGACATCTCATCTCTGCACCTCACCCGGATGTGCCTGTGACACCTAGTTAGGAGGGACATCCCTTTGCTTTAAAACAAAAATAATTACAAAATCAATAGTAACAACCCCCTTTCCCTTCCTCTGATCTCCAAGAAGTTCATCTAAGTACAACTCATTTTTGAGAAAGGGAGAAGGGAGGGGTGAAGGCTTCTAGGCCAAGGAACTTGCCAGATCCAGCATCCCCCCTGCCATACCTCTGGCGGCGATGAGATGAGCCCCCTTTGTGTCGTGCCCGCTCAGGACCCGGGACCAGCAGAGCCGAGAAGGGGCTGAGGAGACACAGCTGCCCCTCCAGCTCCTCCTCAGATAGCTGGCAACTCCAGGAAGAAAGAGAGGGACTGGGGTGAAAGAGGGTTCAGGTTATTTCTTTCCCATCCCTCTTCCTCCCAAGGCTGGGAGGAGACTTCTGGGTCTGCAAGCCCAGTCTGTGCTTACCGGTGTCCTTAAGAATGACAATTTAAAAACAAAAAAAAAGGAAAGAAAAAAAATATGCATAATTAGGTATTGTCCATGGAAGGAGCGGGAGGGGACAGGTTCCAGACCGAGACAAAAAAGGGACTCTCTCCCTCCCCACGTTTGCTCGTCTGGAGACCACGTTCCCTCAGCGTCCCTGCGCGAACCCTTTGTGCTCTTGCTCTGACACCAATCGACACGGATGACAAACACGGGGATGAATTCAGTGCAGCAGAGGGCGGGAGGGCACACGCAGGTGCACCAGGCCTAGGCCCGGTGCTTGGGGAGCATGTCCAGCAGGAACTCCGCAATGCCAATGAAGTAGACAACTTGTGCGATGCCAAAGAGAGGAGCAATGACCAGGGCTCGGCAGTACGCCCCTTTCAGGAAGGCCATGGGCCCTTCCTTCTGCCAGATCTTCCTGCGGAGAGACAGCACAGACAGATAAGTGTCCATCCCACCCCTCCACCATGCCAGGAGACCCTCTGGCCATGCCCTGGCTTTCTGCCTCCCTCCAGAGACTGCTGTCGCCTGGCACTGCCTCCACAGCAGATCATCCACCATCCTCCATGTGCTCTGCGAATGGCCACGCAGGAGCATGCCCCATCCCTACATCTGGCCAGGAGCAGGAGCGTCTGCCTGGGTCTGGATGTACAGCTAAGACAACCCCATGCTTGCACCCCAGAGGTCCCCCTGTTCAAAAGTTGGGGTCAACTCCACCCTTAGTATGGGGGACAGCCAGATGTCTCTCGCAAGACTGGCTACAACAGCAATACAGAAGCAGAGCGCTTGTGTTTTGAAACTCCCTTCACGTTTTGAAGCAGCCAGACCACAGTTTAGCAAAGGGTCAGAGGAGAGTGCAGCTGGGCCAGAGCCCAGCCAGCCAGCGCTGCTGCAGCCACTGTTCCGAGGGGTGCCAGGAGGGATACGAAACTTAACGCTATAGGATTTTCAGACAACAGGGGCTTAGGAGGGACAACCACAGCATTGCCTCCCTTTGCAGAAATAAAATCTCAGTGTTAGCACTGTTGGGGTTTTGACAGAAGCATTTAAATATAAATGCTATATTTACCTTGCTCAAAATAGGTTCTCTTTTATATACCTATATATATGAACAGTATATATCTGGTCATATATCTATATATCTATCCATACAGATAGATAGATAGATAAAAGCAGAGGTTCAGAGGGAACCTGAAACAGAGAAGCTGCTGGTTGGGTCTAGAAGCTGTACCGACTGCCTGGCAGCAGGCAGCAGCCAATGCCGTACATCTGATGTGGTGGCCTGCTTCACAAGGAGTCTTACTTGGTACAGTCCAGGATTCCTGAGTAGGTGTCCTCATTCACTCCCCTCTGCAAGGACTGCAGCCGTGTTTTGATCACTGGGGAGAGAGAGAGAAGAGAGACAGTGGTGAGAACTGAGAACGTAGCATGCTCTTCACCAGGCAAGAGCCACCCTGAGAGTGATGTCTTTGAAACACAGTCAAAACGAGATCACCAAGAACACAGACCATTTTCATATATTTATCAGGAAAAAGGGGGGGGGGGGGGGGGGGGGAAACCAACCCACTCCCCTCACTGTGACCAAGGTTTACAAGGCTGACAAGCTTTAAACGCTTCCAAATTCAGATATCTTTCTGCAAAGTGGGGACCGATTTTCAAATACTCAGCTCCTGGAAGAAGTATCTAAAATATACGATGCTGCTCTTACATTTCTTCCCACCTTGGAGTGTGTGCAGTGCTGGAGAGAGGGGAGTTATTTTCTGGTGTTTTTCACAGCAGAGAAACCGAGGTGATATTTAACACAGATGCTGTGGAGCAGGAGAAAAGGCCACAAATCTGAGGCTCCCTCTGGTTGTCTATGACCATATGCATGTAAATGGTCTGCATACTACTACTCCACATGGAAACGTGCCTTTTCAGGGGCATGTTCGCAGCCATTCCTGCAAAGAATGACTGCAATGAATGACACCCTCTTCCTGACTTACCTAGCGAGTACTGCAAACCTCTGTGTAAGCTGTGGCCAAAGGTATAGCTCAGCTGAAGGAAACATCATCTGAGCTGGAGGCAG